CGTCGATCCAGGAAAGGCAGTGCATGATGTGGATGATGCGGAACGCTTGTGGCTGAGTCCGCCTCATGCCCGTCCAGACGACTGTAGGAGAACGTGGCCGTAGACACAGCCGCATCAACCTCGGCCTCGACGGAGGCAGACGGAGCATGCTTCTCCTCGTCTTGCGTGTGTTTCTGTGGAAGGTTTTCCTGTGGAGTACAAAGTCCGGTTGCTAATCCTCGCCCTCCACCGCATGAGCACATGCAGCTCTTGAAGATAATGCTACCACTGACACCTGCCACTGCGTTAGCCGCGAAGAGCGTATTAAATACCTGAAATTGCTGCACTTGGAGGAGCTCGAGCAACAAGCGGACGCAACGACGTCGATCCAGGAAAGGCGGTGCATGCAAAGATTATTTCTTGTCCAATATGCTGGGTGGCATTGTCGTGTCTTGTACCCACAGCACTTCCATTCTATCCGCAGCCAGCAACAAGCACCGTTTTGGGGAGATGCTGCCTGAGGAGAGTGTGACAAGAAGTTAGGCATGCCCGAAGCACAATTCATCGATGTGGACGATGCGGAACGCTTGTGGCTGAGTCCGTCTCATGCCCGTCCCAGACGACTGTAGGAGAACATGGCCGTGGACACAGACGCATCAACCTCGGCCTCGACGGAGGCAGACGGATCATGCTTCTCTCTTGCGTGTGTTTCTGTGGAAGGTTTTCCTGTGGAGTACAAAGTGCGGTTGCTAATCCTCGCCCCTCCACCGCATGAGCACATGCAGCTCTTGAAGATAATGCTACCACTGACACCTGCCACTGCCTAAGCCGCAAAGAGCGTATTACCTGAAATTGCTGCACTTGGAGGAGCTCGAGCAAGAAGCGGAGGCAACGACGTCGATCCAGGAAAGGCGGTGCATGCAAAGACCATTTCTTGTCCAATATGCTGGGTGGCAGTGTCGTGTCTTGTGCAACCAGCACGGTTTTGGGGAGATGCTGTCTGAGGAGAGTGTGACAAGAAGTTACGTTAGGATTGCCCGAAGCACGAAACATTGTTATGCGGAACGCTTGTGGATGGTGTCGCAAGATTTAACTAGCATTCAATCAGCACTAGGAGGATGCCAGGATGTGGCTGCGTAGAATCCCTTTGACCTGGCTTTTGCTGATCGCGCCAGTTGCACCAGCTCTCGCGGTCACGAAACCTCCAAGTGTCAGGGAAGTTTGAACCTTGAGGGTAGTCAGGTAGTTTATTGGAGTGCTGCTATCGGCTCGGCGTCGCTTTGGTTGAACCGCATCGCCGGACGAAAGTCAGGTTGATGATGGAAGCACTTGAGCATCCAATTTGACCCTGCGTGTTTAGCAAAGCATGTAGTCTCTGTCAGTGTGCGCGTTGCATCTGAGAAGCAGTGGAGGACGTGGAAGCGAATGCTGCGCAAGCAGAGGAAACAGCCACAACAACGTTGGTGCAGGCCATGTGCAGCATCGTTTTACCGGTGCTCCCGGGTTTTCTTATGTGGCTAATTGAACCAGCCTGCGCCTGTGCAATGCCTTATGTCAGGAATACGCTTGAGTCCCCGCTGATGCTTGGACTGTTGTTGAGGAATTTGCGGCAGCAAGGGAGCTGCGGGAGATTGATGGTGCCGCGATCTTGGCACCCGTGACGACTGACCCCAACGACGACGAGGCAGAGATCGTCGAAAACGTCACCAAGGATGATGTTTATGCCAAGTTGGAGGAGACCCAAAAGACGGTGGCCCGCCTCAGCCTGGAGCTGATGACGACACGGCGCAGGCGGACCAAGTGAGGAGCACAATCGCCCGGGTTTGGGTGCGGCGGCCTCGGGGGGGGCCTTTGGCCCCGAGCCGTCCTTGTCTGGATTCGTGTCTGGCAAGGCCACATCAACAGAGACCCAGTGGGGCCGGCCCACGGTCTAGATGGCACGGGACAAGCACCTTTGGTCATGCAGCTGCTGGAGGACCTTGTCCGGGGCAAGGTCTTCACGCACAAGGAGATCGAGAAAGGGCCGGCCACGACCGGCTGCCCGCTCAGCAAATCCCTGCTCCAACCCTTGTGGGCCTGGAAAATGTCGGGTAAGCCCAGAGCCCTGATCCGCTCATTTGCAGCGCTGCTGAGGGACCTCTTCAGGGCCCCCCACAAGCAAAACTCTCCCTTTGGTGGTGGGGCTCGAGTGACGTGAGTGCCTCCGACACCGAGGCATGCATCGGAGGCTGGCTGTCCAATGCTGTCGACGGATCCCTGCCCGGACGAGTCCTCCGTCTTCTGGTTCCCCTACAAGGTTGTGATCGCCACCCTTGCTTGCGCCTTCGTCCAAGGGTCCCCGAAGCGCCGCATCGCGGCCCTGGACTGGAGATGCTGGGGACCAGGCTTCTTGCAGCCTTCCTCATCGAAAAGAATGATCAGGACGAGCGCCTTCCCATCATTCCCCTGATCTCCGACAACCAGGGAAACATCTATTCTCTCATCGATAACAAGTCCAGAAAGATGCCTTCAGCGGCCATTCTCATCGAACTTATGCTCCTTTTGCACTGCAAAAACTGCACCGTTGCGCCCTCTCACGTGAAGAGGGATTTCAACCAATGGGCTGACGAACTAGCACACCCGGACTGCCAGGTCTTTGCTCCGGGTCATCGTCTTCGTGTCAACCGCCTACTCAGAGGCTTTCACCTTGTTTCCTTGTGCTGGAATCCGATTCTGTCTAGTTTCCTTCGGACTCCTTCACCTGTACGGCCCGAGTGGTGCGCTGTAAGGCCGAGGAATTCCCCCATTCGCTCGCTGCATTGCGGGACTTTTCTCGCCAGGCACATCAGTTCCACGCCGTTTTCGGTTTTGAATCTCACGGAGGGGCCTGACGCGTTGGGAGCTTTTTCGCCCCGACTCGCTCGGGGAAACCCTCTCGGATTGCCACCTTCACACTTCCGTTCGCAGTGACAAGATGGAAGTGTGGGTGGTTACCCTCGGGTTCCATTGTGCTCGTGCTTGTTGACATTGCTTTTCTGTCTTTTTGAGGGAGCAACTTCAGCCAAACGACGAGGCAAAGCCGCCCCCGGCGGCGCCGCCACCGGCAAAGGCAAAGGCCACTGTGCATCTCATCTCCTCTGACCAGCATGCTGGCAAAAGCAAGACAAGCAGAGGCAGGTAGTTCCAGCAAACTGCCGCCACAACCTTCCAGGTCCGCACAGAACTTCATATCCGAAACTTTAGCGACGTGTCCTTGGACTGTTCTTGAGCTTCAGAGAAGAACATGCATCAGGCCCAGGGAGTGCCAGAGCCGCGGCTGGCACACTTGGCGGCAGAGGATGGGCTGATGGGTATGGCTCTGAACGGCACAGGTTTCAGTTTCCGAATCCAGGCTGGCGCAAAGCTCGAATCGGAATTGCAAGCCGACTTCAACCGCGCTCACGAGGTGCGCTGAGTGTGCCGAGCCCGCTAAGTTCCCGCTCGTGCCGCAGCTTCCTTTCTAAAGGCAAGCGGCAAGTACAAGGCTGCTCAGACCGAGATCGCAAAGGCTTCGGCTGGGGAGGGTTGTGCAACTGCAGATTTGGCCACATCAGTCTCGCAAGGAGCTGAAAGCTCTCAGCAATGGCACCCAGAACTTGCAGGTAGGCCCTGCAGCTGTGCAATCAACCGCACGCTGGAATATGTACACGTCTCTTCATTGTAGCGTCGCTCTCTCCCTCTCTCATATCTCTTTAGAATCTCTTTCGAGCTTGCTGCACCTGGTTCTCGATAGTTGCCGATTCTCAGCATGCCCCCTGCCATGTTAACGAGCCATTGTCAGCATTTATCCAGGTGTCAGAAGCTCAACCCAGGCTTGAACAGTCTTGCAGTGATATCAAAACAATCACGTCTGTCCTCCGCACAAAATGGCTTGGAGTGGTGGCCGGCGTGAGGAAGGCGCTCAGAGGATTAGACTTGGAGAGAATGCACCCTGGAACATTGTAGACGAGCATGGCAGATGAATTGTGAGCGTTTCTTGACAGCATGTTGGCTACGAGAGTCCCAGAGGTAGAGCATAGCAGCCAGAGCAATGGGGACGATAGGATCACTTTTTCTGTTCCTCCACATCCTGTACGGAAAAGGCCTGGCGCAGGCCGTTGTGGAGCTTGCAGCTGTGAAAGAGAAAGAGACCCATGAGCCCCGTATCATCCTCCGCTATGAGTCTGGTTCAGCGATATCCTTGAATGAACGTCATGACCTGAGCTTGCACGCTGCATGTGCTGTTTTCCACAGCAGCTCGGCCTCGGCATAAACCTCAAGTCTTCCTTGCTGAGGTGTCAAGCATCTCGAGCATCTCTCTGGGGTTCGACGAGCGGAAGTGCTACCGAGCCTAGACATGGCTGTCGTCGCGTGTGACGCAGATTCACAGGAGGATGATATGCTGGAGATTCTCCAGGCACAGGATGGTGTTGAAGTTGCAGTACCAGATACTTGGCTCCAGTTGGACGAGGAGCATGTCGAGAAGCGTCCGGAGCGTCTCTGTTCTGCAAATCCTCAATGTAGCGCAATTGGGCTCCGTGGCTTGTGCTGCCCAACTCCTGATGGACTGCACTTGGGGTGCTGCGACGACAATCGTGGTGCTGCCCCCTTGCCTAGACATCGTGAGCACGGCCTCAGCACAATTTCATTGCAGAGCTGGCATGGTGGCTTTATGGCCGGGATGCCCTGGGGTGCGGTCGGATTCTATCCCAACAAGCTTCACCCGGACACGCATTTCTTCGTGGTTGCACATGATGACGGTTACAATTCTTTGAAGACCCAGTACGGAACTTATGTGGTTGCAACACCGTCTGGTAGACTGGCATTGTGGCACCGTGGACATCCGGAGGCAGACGACTTCGAGAAGTTCAAGTTCATCTACAACAAGGATGGCACACTTACGCTGCGAAGCAAGATTTCGGACATGTATGTTGCAGCAGAAGACCCCTTGTGGGGAGTGCTCTCAGCCGACAGAGATGAGATTGATGATTGGGAAAAGTTCAACGTTACCTTCACACATGGCAAAGACACAGTTATTCCGAATGATGCCTCCCTGGACAGGCTTTGGGGGTTGCATCATTACGGTGACCGTGACATCGATGCTGCAGAGGCTTGGAGAATCGCTCATGCACCTTCCCCAGAGGGGATTGTGGTTGCAGTGATTGACACCGGGATCGACTACACGCATCCGGACCTCAAGGATCAAATGTGGGTCAATCCAAACGAAATCCCTGACAATGGCATCGATGATGATGGCAATGGGATCGTGGACGACATTCACGGGGCCGATTTCGCCAACAATGATGGAGATCCTATGGATGATCAAATGCATGGAACACACTGCGCAGGAACCATTGCAGGCTTGCTTACTCGCTGATTGCTCGCTGTTCGCTCACTCTTCGCTCGCCGCTCGCTCACTGGTCGTGTACTGCTCGCTCGCTGCTCGCTCGCTGCTCACAAAGCTTACCCCTTTTTGCATCGCTTTGTGCCTTCTTGCAAAGTCTGGTCATGTTCGTGAAACGAGGAAACAGGCAGGCAGGCATGCATCACTTTCACACGTTTCGATGCTCCTCGCGATGTGTTGTTCCGATGCAGTCGTGGCCTACTAAGTATCTCAAGTCGTTGTGATCTGTTGAGGCAACGGCAACAACTCCATTGGAGTGGCTGGAGTGGCTTGGCAAGGAGTTCGGCTCATGGCCATGAAGTTTTTGTCTGCTTCTGGTGGCGGACGTACCTCCGATGCCATCAAATGCCTGAACTATGCTGTGGCCATGGGCGCGAAGCTCTCTAGCAACTCTTGGGGAGGCGGCGGATCTTCTTCGGCAATGCGAGCCTACCACTCAGTTTTGTCTTAGCAGGAGTGTGACTCGAGCCGGCATGCTTGCTTCCTCCTCTGGGTGTTCCTTTCAGTTCAGGTGGCAATTGAGCGTGCAGAGCAAGCCGGAATGCTGTTCATTGCCGCCGCCGGCAATGAAGGGTCCGACAATGATGAATTTCCGCATTACCCCTCCAACTATCCCACCGCAAATATTGTGTCCGTAGCATCCACAACAAAGACTGGGTCATTGTCTTCTTTTTCATGCTACGGGAAGACGACGGTGGACGTGGCAGCTCCTGGCAGCAGCATCTACTCGACGGTTCCGAACAACAAATATGCTTCCCTGAGTGGAACATCTATGGCCACGCCACATGTCAGCGGGCTTGCAGCACTGATCTGGCTGCATCGTCCCCAACTTACGATGCCCCAAGTGAAGCGCATCTTAATGGAGTCTACGACAAAGGTGGATGCACTTCAAAACAGCAGCCTCACGGAGGGGCGCGTCAATGCGCGACGTGCTCTGATCTTGGCTGCATCATATGATGCGCTCTATCCGCCTGTGAACCGACCTCAAAGTCTAGTCTTCACGGATACCGACCCAGAAGTTGGACGAATAGGCGGAGTTGCTTACATCACTGCAGCCGCGGATGAAAGCGACGTTGCCTACTACAGTCTGCACTTCATGTCGGTCGCTGGGTTTCTGATGGAGCGAGTTGGCAGAGTGAATGCATCGGGGGCAGTCTCCCTGCAAATCACACTTCAGAACGTGACCATCCCGAAGTATGTCACGAGCTTGGCCGTAGTTGCAGCCAACAAGAGTGCAACTGCCGGACCCTCAAAAGCAGCGGTCGTTGACATCAAAGACTACGGGGTTCCCAAGTACGGACCCGGAGAAGTTTCTTGGGGTGGTGATGTGGACGGGCGGTTGGGGTACATCGCGGGGCAAATCCAGTTCCGGCGAGCAAAAGCGGAAAGCAGCATCACACACTACAACCTTTACTGGAAGGATGAAGCCCGATCCTTTCTGGGAAAGGTGCCTGCGTCTGGTTTCGCGACTCCTTCTTGTGAGGGAGACTGCTCGCTGGTGGACACCAACATTACTGGAGATGTCTACACATTCCATCGAGGAGCCTACACGAACAATGAGATGGCGGCCATCACTTTCAGTGGTCCTGCCACAGTATGGCTGACCAGCTTCCGGACAGAAAAGTATTACGACTACCTCGAGATCGGTGGCCAGCAGTTGTCAGGAACACGGCTAGTACTCCCCATGCGATTTGACCTGGAGAGTGGTCCACAAAGGATCACGTGGTCCAGTGATCGCTCCGAGGTCGAGGAAGGCTGGACGCTGGATTTGTTGCAGACGGGCTCAATGGCCAGCTATGCTTTGCAGCCTTTGGCTCCACCAAGTTGGCATGTGGAGGTGGTCTCCGCCTATGCCGACACGGAGGGCCAAAACGCCTCTCAGGGTGAGCTTTCCGACTTCGATGCGTCCAAGATGCCACCTTCTGCAGCTTTGAAGCCACGTCAGTTGAGCTTCGTTGACGTCGATGTGCAACAGGGCATCATCGAGGGACACATCCAGTTCTTGCCGCCACCGAGCTGCGAGGACACCATCACCTTCTACAAAGTGTTCGTTGCAGATGCCCAGGGCGAGGCAATCGATGGATTTCAGTGGACATTGCCAGGGACACAGAACTGCTCTGCCTTGATGCAGGTGACTGTTGAACGCACAGAAGTTCCGTCTGATGCCGTGCAGGTTGTGGTCATAACGGGGAACCAGAACGGCGAGGGTCCATCTCAATCAGTGCCTCTGGTGGACATTGTCAGGAGTGCTCCGGTCAATGCTACCTTCACAGGAGACTCAGATCCTGCCCGGAATCAGGTCAAGGGCGGCATCAGAATCACGCCTGCAGCAAACCCAAAGGGAATACGTTCGTATGCAATCTACTTCGTCAACGGCACTTCAAAGGAGAAGCTTTTGGGGCGTGTGGCGGCCGAGTTGGATGAGGTCGTCGTTTACGAATTCCACATCATTGTCAAGACTTCGCTGCGTGACTTGCTTGTTGTCAGCGTCTATGAAGACATGGAGATGGATGAGGGCATCTTCCTTCACTTCGAGGATGTGTATGATGACCCGGACGAGGCAGAGGACGACGGACGAAGGCTGGCTGCTGAGACGTCAGATCTGGAGCCGTGGTTGCGCAGACCACACCCACCAGCCTGGAATGAAGTCCAGCTGCTTTGGACAGAGCCCAGCATCGGGGAATTGCAGACGAAGAAGTCCGCCATTGAAGTCCGAAGCGACAAGAGGGTCATGGGATCGCTAACCATACCAGGCATTCTTGGCAGTGTGAGCACGTCAGGCACACGGCCAACATTTGTACCACCAAGTCTCGAAGCGAGGAAAGCACTTGTCTCGGTGCTGGCAGAGAGTTTGCCAGCAGTGTCCCAAGAGCAGGTGCGGCTTACAAAGGGCCAGATGCTTACATGCCAGGCTGCTGTACGGTCGAAGCAGCTGAAATTTCCAGCACCGCCAGACTCCTTGGACAGCGCATGCCTGGTGATCAACTTTGAGGTGTTGCCTGACGCCAGTTTGGCTCTTCATGCCAAGCATTCGCAGGATTTCCTTGACATGGTCGAGGCCAGACTGATCGCCTTGCACCGTGGGAGCTCAGCTGCGCAGAAGATGACTGATCTGCTCAGAAGACGCTTGCAGGGAGTGATTTCGGCCGCAGATGGAGTTTGGGCGGTGGTGGGTGAACCACAGCAGATTGCACCAAAGGTGCATGCTGACTCCAGGTCATTGACAAGCATCGGCCTCGGTGAAGAATGGGAGGATGAGCCCGAGCTTCCTGAGGAAGCCGAGGAAGCCAGTCCACTGATGCTTTCTGTCTCCATTGGAGCATTGCTTGGTGGAATCACCGCGGCTAGCTGTGCAGCACTACGCTTGGTGAAGTACCGGAAAAGTTTGGTCAAAGAGCCCATGGCCATGGCCGTGACGCCCCAAGTGGATCCGGTGCAGCCGGTCTCCGACCACTCCGACTCGCTTGATGTCAGCCTACAGCTCGGCGAACGAAACGAGTGAAGCGACAAAAGCCAAATCCATACTATGTACTTACTATGTACATGACTTTTACTGCTCATCTCACCTGAAGGTGGGCTGTGGATCGAGTTGCGCACGAGATGTGCGCAGCGTCAAACTCCACGACGAATTCAAACTCATTGACACAGAGTCCATTTCGCACAAATTGGCGAGAGTGATTGACTTCAATTTTTGTTGTGCCAAGAACATGCAATATTTTGTTCGGCTACCCGCTGCCTGCACGTGCTCTGGGACAGACGTGGACTCTCTAAGATCTCCGCGAATCTGTCCTAGGCTTGGTACACCTGGTACGCAATAGGCTCAGAGGTCCGTATAAAGCGAGCCCCTCTGACATTGACCTTTGAAAGTGCAGTACTGAACAGCTCGAGGGAAATCGACGACAGTGTTTTGTGCACGCAATGCCGTTCACACGTGCAGGCGGTTGATTCATGTCCAACCAAGACCAAGAGAGCTCTTGACAGGCGGTTCTGGCAGGATTTTCACCATCTTGGAGAAAGGCTTTCAAGTGAGAGACGGACATGTGAAGATCGGCTAGCCCACCTTGGACATACAGCGTGTCAGGTGTCATAGACATGCTTGTCTTATAAGTAGAGCCGCCATGATGACATCGTCTTATGGGTTTAGAATTGGTGCATGCATGGCCAGCTGGTGACACAGCGGGAGACAAGTTCCCATCGTGGGTTTGGAACATGCGTACACGGTTATGGTTGAGGATGTAGTTGTCGGTGCCTACAGCTTCAATGCAAGATGTGGCTGCCTCATTTTGCGTTGCTGTCACGCTGAGATGCGCTGAGTGGGGATGTGCTTCAGTATATGAAGGAACTAGGTCATGCAGTAGCCGTGAGCTTTTCTCGCTCTGAGCCGGCAGATTTGCCACATAGCTCTCGGCCGTTGCTAGAAACAGAAAAGCTGCTGCATCACTGCTGTGCTTTGCCGGATGTCGAGCGCATTCGACATCTGCACTGAATCTCCTCACATTCGCTCTGCGAGTGCATAACATGGAAGACGGAACTGTTGGCGGACTGTCTTGAATCTGGCTTTTGTCAAGGCTCAGATCCCTGCAGAACATGCTCCTCTGTTGACGAAGATCGAGAAGGTGGCCTGTAATTTTAACGCTACGCCGCCCGCCTCGGCTGCTGAGGGGCAGGGGGTACGGTAGACACGTCGGTAGCGTCCGTGCATGTCTGGAGCAGAAGGCCAGAGGTCGTGGGAGGAAGACAGCAAGTAGACTTCCGGGCCACGTGACAGTCTGGAGAGGTGCTTGTGTGTGTGTGTGGGTATACAACGGCAGGTGTCAGCAATCAAGGTCGGAGACTGGGTGTAGGGTCAACGGTCAAACAGCGGCGCTCTGCCGTTGCCATGCAAAGTTTCGTGCCAGAGTATCGTTGGGAGAGTAGTTTGGGCGCTGGGTGGATTGCCGCCAGCTTTGGGCGTGGTGGAGGGGCAGGAAAGCGGGGGAGGGCGGGGGCTGGTAGGGGGGAGGGCGAGGGGGAAAAACGCCAAAAATCAGCAAAAAGTGAGGGGTCCAGAAGACAAAGGCCGACAAGTGAGGTAAAATCAGGCGAAGCCGGGCGGGGGGGGGGGGGGGGAAAATGGACGCAAAAAACGCATGGTTCCAACCCGCACAAAGGCGGAATTCTGGCTGAGCAGATCCAAGCAGCTCTTCAAGTCTCCTTTAGCAGAGGTGCTGCAAACCACGGTGCAACCAGCGGATCAGGACTCCGGGTGCGCAGAAGAAACTGGCCCTTTCATGTCTGAATACCACGTCTTGCTGTATGCATGTTACAACGACTCTGTACGACTTTGTGCTACGAGTCTGCTGCTGTGTGGTGTCCACCTGACTGTTTTGAAGTGATTGGGGCAAGAGGAGATGATCAAGGGTGTTGATTTCATCGAGGTTTGGTTCGGAGCATGTGTGGCTGGACGTGCTTTTACAAGTCTGCAGCACGAAAGATGTCGTGTCCGTTTGCACGACAGTTTCGGTTTCGTCTGCAGACTGCAGGACAAGGATTCGGCAGAAGCGGGCACAACCACACTGCCGGGTCCGAAGGCGAGTTCGTGTTTCGGGGTGTGGTTGTGCCGGGTTTGCCAGGTTCCGACGCGGATGCGTGCATCGGTGTGAAGTTTGACATTATGTCGAATGGAATGAGTTCTTTTTCAAAAGGGTGTCCAAGGTTGAGAACAGACAGTCGTTCCGTGCAATGGGTGGTGGCCAGCGTCTTGGGAGTCAGGGTTTGAATATGATAGTGCCCATGCCAAACTTAGGTGACGCAACAGCCGTTGCAAGAGAGTATTTGCGAGACGTTTCGGAAACCTGTCTTGCTTGTCTTTGTAAGGCACACTGTAAGGTGGTGTCCCGTTGTCGAAGTCGTACACAGTCCAGCAAGGGCGAAGCATGTCTTCGATAGATCGTGCTGTGTCCGAGTTTTCACCAGCCCAGTTCGACAGCCGCAAGCCTGTGATGATTAGCAACTCTTTAGAACATAGGACATAGGCCGCCGCGCCGTACCGCAAGCAAGCGATACTTCGCTGCA